CCTTCCCCATCCCCATAAGGTTTAGGCCTTTTTTTGGATCCTTCTCCAGGGCAGAGTTTTTAACTTTGGACCGACTCCAGAAGAGAGGTATCTCCCTTCACCGATTTATTCTGTGTCTTCAGGAAGAAGAATCTATCCTTCACCTTTTTATTCATTGTCCTTTCTCCTTTGCCCTTTGGTCCACCCTTCTACAACTTTTTGGCCTTCATTGGGTGGGTCACACCTCAATCCTTACCTGATCTCTTCTTGGCCCTCTCACCTCCCTTCTGATCTATTGGTAGAAAATTGTGGTGCATAGCTATTGCAGCCCTCTCATGGTCCATCTGGTTAGAAGGAAACAGAGTTTGTTGGCACTTCATTCCCCTTCACTCGCTGTCATAGCCCTCTGACTCCCCCCCTCCCCCCCCCCCAAAAGGGGGTCCTCAAACTTAATACAGATGGTGCATCTCTCAGAAACCCTGGACCCTCAGGATATGGGGTTACCCTAGCCAATTTCGATGGTACATTCCTCTCTTTCTCAGGGCCTCTTGGAATTTTAGATTCCATCACTGTCGAGGCTCTGGCTCTACTGGAAGGAAAGATTGTCCAATTTCGCACACAATTCTCCGGTATACAGGTGGAGTGTGACTCAAGTACGCCATCAGATGGACTTCTAACCTCATACAACCCCCTTGGCTGCTGACGTCAACCTTTGAACTTATTGCTCTTATTTGCAGTGACCTGCCACCTGTGACCTTCAAGCACATCCTTAGGGGGACCAACTCAGCAGCTGATGGCCTTGCTAAGGAAGGAGCTCGCAACATATTTCCTACTATTTTGTTCTCGCAACATATTTCCTACTATTTTGTTCTCGCAACAGGTACACTAATTATCACTTGCCCCTCTCTTTGCAACCTTCTTCCCCTCTTCTCTCATTCTCTCTTTGCTTCCATTCTCTATTCTCCCCCCCTTGTTGTAGAAGGAATAAAAAAGGACAAAAAAAAGAGAGAACACTAGGAAAACAAAAGAGAATTTTTTTTAAAAAAAAACACTCACAAAATACTATATATATATGTATTCTGGAGAAGTCTCTTCTCTCCCTGACCCTTCCCTTCTATCTTATGCCTCTCTGCTCTACCTCTTGTTCTCTCTTCCTCTCTCTCTGTTGGCAATCCTCTACTCTTTCTCTTTTCTTTCACTCCCTCTGCTCTACCCCTTCCCCCCAACCCCCCATTTTTTTTTCATTATCTCTCGTCACTCTGCTTTACCCCATCTCCTCTTCTTCATTCCCTTTGGCTCTCTGCTCTACCTACCCCCGCTTCTCATCTAGCTCGATTTTCTCCTTTCTTCTTGTCTGTTATTTTCACTTCAGCCTACCCCTCACTCTCTTCCCCTCTTTATTCTTTTCTTACAGCTTGCCTCCAAGGAATGTCTTCTTGCACGGGAAGGTCAGAAGATGCTCTCAGCCTTACAGTCTCAACCTTGTTGGCCACGGAAGCTCGCTCTACTACAGATCTCGCAACCGTGCATCTTCGAGCCCTCGAAGTTCAGCAACGGACCTTCCATCTACTTTTGTCTTCACTGGGCTCACCTCTCTTCTTTGGACTCTCTGCACTTCTCTTTTGCTTGAAGCCTTTTCCTCTACTTTTTCTCTTTTGATGATCTTTGCTCTTTCTTGGCCCTTTTCTTAATCTGTATTCTTTTTATCTTTTTTTTTTGTTTTTCTTTTTGAGCTTCTTTCTTACTCTTCTACTCCCCCCTTGTACTCTGAGCACCCGTTTTGTGGGCTGCCATTTTTAACACACCTTGTGATCTTGTAATCTTTCATTTTTATTTAACAAGTTAACCAGTTTCAAAATGAAAAATAAAAATAAAAATCAAGAAGTCTTAATGTTTAGGGGTAGCTCCAATAGGCAATAAGATAAGGGAAAGTAGACTTAGGTGGACTGGCCATGTGTAGCATAGACTTAATACAACACTAGTTAGGAGGGGCGATTTGGTTCAAGTGGAAGGTTCTAAAAGGGCAAAGGGAAGGCCTAGACATAGATGAAAGTAGGGAAAGGAGATATGGTGACTTATGGTCTGATTGAGAGTATGACCCTTGACAGAGCAGAATGGCAGAACATGATTCACATAGTCGACCCCAAGTAGTTGGGATAAGGCCCGGATGATGATGATGAAGTATTAATGCTAGTTAAGAACTGATAGTAATAAGTTACGCATGCAAAAATCCCACCTGATATGTTTATGGAACCTTCAACAAAATTGAGTGTTATTCTGAAATCTATACTACCTTTGGCATTCCTTAATATTTTTTGTTTGTTGCCAAAGGCAATCATGATCCATTGATTTCTTTATCAAAGATGGCAACTTTCCATTATTCTCTCTTATCTCTATTTCTCTATCTAGAGCGCTTTGAATCAAGAAAAGGAATACGTCTTTATCTCTCCCCGATATGAACTCCTTGATTTTCCCCTCAAACCCAATACTCCTACGAAGGACCTGTCAAACCCAGAACTCCTACTGGAAAGGGATTATGATCGTCCCTCCTCTCTCTCTTGTGCCTATGAAACTCATGGGTTGTATGGTAGTTTATAGCACAGAAATGCTTAACCCAAAACTACTATAAAGGTTTTGAATACGGCACGATCTCCCTTCCGATTCCCCCTGCCAACAGTTGGACTGGGGATGGAGTTTCTCTCCCTAGGTCAAATTTTTTTCCCTAGGCTTTTTTGAGTAGATTCCTTGAAAATTTTAGAGAAAAGAACACTCCTGCATTGAGTATAGTTATTCAGGTTTGGCCAAAGGGACCATCTTTGTTGTCTTCATTTGAAGCAGATTTGATTTGGCCGAGAACTCTTCTTAGTACTCTGATATGTACGTGAAGATCGACATGACACTAAAAGTTAAGAAAGAAAAAGCCAAACATATCTTAGATTTCCAATCATCTCGTGATCTCTTCCGGTCTGCAATGAGGAGGAAGGAAACAATAATTCTCATATTGGTGCTGGTTGTACATAACTGATGATCTTTTGGGTGCTTTTCATAGGTGGTATGGTAGCCTTGCATTACTGTGTTCCCTCTCTCTCTTTGTCATTCTTCTCTTTTTCAACATTCTTATACGATATAAATATGTTTTTTTGATGTAATTGGCTATATTCCAGTAATGTATATGAGAAAAACAATATAACTTCTGCACTGCCTCTACAAAATGCCCATCTTTTTTTAATGTAATTCACTGTATTTTTTTTAAATGTTTATGATATCTAAATGTATATGAAAACGATGGTAATGTATGCACCACCTTTACAAACCCCTTTGCATATTTGGTTTACAAAACTGGGCTAGCATCTTGGGTTCGACAGGGAAGAGAGGGAGAGAGAGATGAAGAAAGAATGAGAAAAAGAGGAAAAAGAGAGAAGGAAAAGGAAGAGGGGGGGAAGGAAGGAAGGAAAGGAAGAGAAGTAGCTGGTGTGAAATTGGTACCACCATGTTGTTGCTGTACTGTTGGATTCTGATAACACCACACTGTTGGAGGCCTGGCTGGATGTGTTGTTGGCACCATCCTTGACGAGAGTGTTGGCTGCCATGTTGGCTTCGCGCCAAATGTTAGCGTCACACCATATATGCCTGAAAGTGTTGGCTGCCATGTTGGCCTCACGCCAAATGTTAGTATAAACTTTGGAAATATGCATAACACAGATGTTTCATCAACTTTTGAAATGCACTAGATTTTTTGATCCGTTATAGTTTTTTTTTGTCTGAAGAATACATGCTATGTCCTTGTTGCAAATTTACAAGGTCATTGTCTTAGAAAAAGACAATCCACATGAACCTTTAAGGCAGCCAGTCTGAGTAGTATCCCATGTGACAATAGAATGATCACTCAAACTCTGATGGAAGTAAGCTGTCAATAACAGCAGATTGGAGTCCTTCACGTCTAGTGTTTCAAATCAAACAGTGCTAGGTGGCACTTAGGCGGTCGGGGGGAGGGGGGGGGGGGCGGGGGTTCCAGGCCGCCCAACACCTAGGCGGGCACCCAGAACCTGGGCGGCTTAGTAGAAATTTTTTTTTTTTGGGTTTTCTCTCTCTAAAATAGTCTCTAATGAGTTTTAGGTTTCAAATGAACTTAAAACCCACAATTTTACCCATTTAGTATTAAAAAGGACCCAAAAATACCCTCAAGGAGCCGCATTTCTGCCCCTGGGTGGGGCACAGGCCCTGGGTGGCAGCCTAGGCGGGCTCAGGCTGGTGCCCAGGCGCTGGGCAGTCTGCTTTTTGAAACAGTGTTCACGTCAAGCTCTTCGGTTATTTATGCATATACTGAATAAACGCAATACTCCTTTTGTAGGTAGAGCAAGTGCTGGATTCTTGATGTTCCTTTGGTGGTAGCCTCTTGTAATTGACATACATGGGGCTGCAATCTATCGATAGTGGCATGGTGCACTCCTTCTGTTTTCAAAATTTTGTAACAAATGATCCAAGGAGGTAAGTCTTGTTTAATGTACAATGATAACCAGTGGGATGTTAACTATGAAAAAATTCAGATCTTATTCCCTCAGCATCTCATGCATAAAGCTTCAAGTTCATAGTTCAAACATGACATGTGAAACATGCAGAAAAACATGGGTTTTTAGGTTTGTTGAGGCCATCTGAACCTTTTTGCTTCACTTTTGATTACAATCTCTACTTGTCTTTCTATATGTGTGGAAGTAACCATTCGAAAAAGGATTTCTGTTCAGGTATGTTTGATTTCGTGTTCTCTTATCTAAATACTTTGCATAGATCAGTTCCAGGATTATATACTGTTGAAAAGTCTTCCTAATTGGTTTCTATAGAGACTTGGAAACCTTGTACGTATGCGGGGATGGGATTGTGTGCCTTGTGCTGAATCCCTACCTGGTACATATGATTGATTGATATCATTTTCTATGTAATGCATACATAATGTCTTTATATATATGCCTGTCTTTGATATTCTACTGTTATGCATATGCTTAACTCCCTTACATTTCCATCAGAGAACAGATGGTGAAGAAGCTGCAAAAAGAGGAATCATTGAAACTTGACACCCTTTTGGATTGTCATCTCCAACGCCTTGCTGAAATTCTCATTCACGAGAAGAAGTGGGTGGAGGAATGCGCCTTCGATGTATCCCCTTTCAAAGTGACACTTCCCACTGAGAATGGCTTCTCTTCTTCAAGTTCTAATTTTGATTCACCTGTTCTAAGCACGATATTTTTGGCTGGAGCCTCTAATTCCCTGAATGGGTTCAGCAGAGAGGAAAAGAACCCCCCTAAATTGTCCAGAAGCAAGATAATCGAAGACTGCCAAGCTTTTCTCACTGATGTTTTAAAATATCATCCTGAAGGTTTTAATATAGGCAGTATTAGGCCTCAATTTTATGCGAGGTATGGCTATATTTTGGATTATAAGACTTTGGGTTACCCGAAATTAACATCCTTGTTGGAGATAATGCCGGGTGTGAAGATCGAGTCATACCGAATTATACCTGGAGTAGATGCTCTGAGTGATAAAGACAGAGGGAAAAATGTGAGGAGAGAAGAACTTCTTGATGAATTTAAGTCAGTTTGTAGTCCAGACAAAAATGCTTATTTGGGTGAAAAGGCTGATCGTTCGGAGACAGTCACTGATCAAGATTGTGTATGGGAGGAACTTGGGCCTGTTACTATATCAGATGCCTCTGAAAATGCTGAGGATTCAACACTCAATGCAAAAACTGATCCAGAGATAGAAAATATGAATCCTTATCAAACTTATTCTCTTTCAGATATTGAATTATCTGATTCTGAAAGTGAAAGTTCTTTGGAAAATGAAGCGAACAGAGAAGAGATGGAAAGAAACAAGGATGATGGGTCTCTTCTTCGAATTTTAGATTCTTGGCATGAAAAAAAGGAGCGTGTTAATAAGGATTGCCCAGAGGCCCTTGATGGGCTTGTGGAATGTTCTCAAAGAAATCAGTCTGAGCCTCTGGCTTCCTCGACCTTAAGCCCCAAAAGTTCTTCTCGGACGTTGAAGCCCAAATCTAGGAAGAATTATTCATTTGTTACGGAGTCCGTTGATGATGAGAAGGAGAAATTGATTGATAGCATATTGGGTACTTTGAAGAAATCGTCAAACTCCAACCTTGGGAGTTAAAGCTTATGGTGAGGCACATTTGTGAAGTGGGTCATTGATAGTTTCCTCTAATGGGGCTTCTCTCCAGGTTGTTACAATTTTGGAAGGTTGAAATCAAATCAAATCTTGTACCATGAGTGTGTATGAGAGAGAGAGAGAGACTAGTTGCGGTGTTTGTTTTCTTCCTGTATGTCTTAGGCATAAACAGCAACAAAAATGTATGGGGTGAGATATGAACGGCTCCCTTCAATTAAGGGGATGTTGACCCCCTGGGCAAGTTGGCCTGCGACCTTAGTTGTTATAACATCCTCGATTTTATTGAGCAATGCAGATTTCGTTTTCAAATGTGTGGCCATCTACAACATTGTCAAACGACTTCTTGAAAAATTGAAGAGAAATGATACCACGCATCAATACTACATGGTGGATGGAATTCACTGGGGATCGGTGGTAATTCCAACTTATGGACATTTCGTACTGTTGATCTCCACCGTCCATCACCAGAGAGCTGCTGGTAGATATCCCCGAGGCATATCATATGCCCTAGACCAATGCTGCATGGTATTGTATATTTTCTGAATTCAAATGTCTCGTTTCTTAATATACATGATATATGGATGACATACGGTGCATGATATGGATACCTTGCTGAGTATAACACAAACAGTCATAAGAATTCATGGAACGCCATGCATGTTCCTCGTGGCCAAACCTTGAGTATATCATGCATGGCCTTATTGTCATGGCAACATGAGCATTAGGACTCTTCATTTTTTTCCTTTATCCTTGTCGTTTGTAGATTATTTAACGTAAATTACTTAACAATAGTATTAGTAGTAAATTATTTAATGTGGTATTTAATATGCTTTATTTATCCCACATAAAGGGAATATTCAAATATTGAGGGGAGGCCTTGCTATAAATAATGTTATGGCATGGCTTGCAACCAAGTGACATGGGTTGCATGTTCCGCTTAATAAAAAATATCAAAAGATTGGAAAGAAATAAAATTGTGGGAACCAAATGGTTTTCTGGGGCCGGATTGGACAATGAAGACGGGCTGGATTGGACAATGAAGAAGGTTTGGATTGGACATTTAAGACGGGATCAAAAGATTGGAAAGAAATACAAATGTGGGAACCAAGTAGTTTTCCTGGGCCGGATTGGACAGCGAAGACATGGGCTGGATTGGACAATGAAGATAGGGCCGATTGGACAATCACGACAGTAGCTGGATTGGACAATGAACAAAAATGACATTTCACAAACAAAAAAAAAAAAATTCAACCATAGATTTAACCAATTGTTCACCTTCGTATAAAACAACAATGATGGGACAATGAAGTCATAGAAAAAATGACAGATTTCACAAAAAAAATTGACCATAGATTTCACAAATTGTTCACATCCACAAAAAAATTAATTATATTTGAGAAATTATAGACTAAAGTATTGCTCGATCAAAATAACCACGTTTTCAATCCTCCAGTCTACCCAAATATCAGCATAGATGCTCGAGGCAGGATAACTCAAGTGCTTCCATCCTGAATGAGCTAAGTGCTTAAATCTGGAGAGACATAAAGAACCAAATATCACATTCAAATATCTCTGGAGAAACATAAAGAACCAAATATCACTTTCAAATATCAAGTTATTCAATCATACTCTATTGTGAGAAAGTATAGGCAATATCAACATAGATACTTGAGCAAATAATAACTTAACAAAGAGGAACTACGTCCTTCAATCAAACATCACTCCATAAAGCATAGATGATGGACTATGATGAAGTATAGGCCCAAATATCACTCTATAACGTATAGATGATGGACTATGAGAAAGCATAGACCCAAATATAACTCCAAATGATATAACTTCGAAGCCATTAGATGATGGACAATGAGGAAGTATAGGCCCAAATATCACTGTATAACGTATAGATGATGGACTATGAGAAAGTAGACCCAAATATAACTCCAAATGATATAACTTCGAGGCGAATGGCTTCATTTACATTGAAGTCCAGTTGGGTTTTTGAGAAACAACAATCAGAAGTGCATCATTTTCAGTCATCAAAGCTCGAGCATGAGCCCATGTTTAGGGACTCGTCTCAGCCACTATTTTTTAAAAATAAAAAATAAAAAAATGAAAAAAAAATAAAGGTAGTAAGTAAAAGTAAATAAAAAAACAACCACAAACAGTCCAAATAAACTAAACAAATATAGCAAAAAAGGATTTAAAAATTAATTTATAATTAGGGATATCTAGAAATAAAAATAATTTAAAAAATAGGGATTATGGTAAAAAAACACACAATCTTTGTAAATAAATATTCCTAATTTTTTTTTACTATTTTTTAGATTTTTAAATTTTCTCATATACCCCAAGTTCTAAATTCAAATCGGGGCAATAGGCCTCTCCCATAACTCGGGGCAAAATGGCCCCACTCATATAGTGGACCAATTGCATATTGGGCAAACTTTCTATGCTTCCCCTACCACATAAAACTTATATACTTCCCCTTATCCAACCGTCCATTCTGAATTGAAGGCTAAGATTTCCCCAATCACAATGTCATGTCTCTACGCTATTTTATTTTTAATTGTTTTTCTATAAACTATTTTGACACCAATTTTTGGACATCCAATCCTATATTAAACTCACACTAGCGAAAAATATATAAAAAAATATTTTCAATAAAATAAAATAAAATAAAATAAGCAAAATACCCCTGAAAGTTTCAAAGGGTATTTTGATTATTATATTTTATCAAAAAATTATTTTTGATATTTTTATAGGTGTGCCCCAATGAGAAGATGGCACATACCAAATTTCATATACATACCATTTGTATATACAAAAAATTAAAAATAAAATACTTTGAGACGTCGGATGTAAGATCAAACGGTGAGTGGCTATTTTGATCAAAATTGGACGGCTGGATAGTAGAGAAAGCATAGATCTTTCTATGTTGTAGGGAAAGTATAGAAACCTTTCTATGTTGTAGGGGAAGTATAGAAACCTTTCCCTTGCATGTTTAGTGCGTCACTTGCAAAACCGTTATATTAAAGGAGAAGGGAATTGAAAGTTATAAACTGCGGCTTAGTCTAATACCACGCGCTTATGGATCTAGACTATATCCTTATACATTAGAATTACACTATAAATCCAGTAATTAAAAAATTTCCAATTTATGCGATGGTTTAGAATTTTTTTCAAAAATTTGCAAAATTTAATATATATATATATATATATATATATATAGATGTGTGTGTGTGTATGTGTGTGTGTGAATGATTTCATGCAACCGTTTTATAGTAATATAATGCAACAATCTTAAAAAACCATATCAGTGTCATTTTTTTTATCCCAATTTTTAAATGTACACTATTTTCACTCCATTGAACAATCACCAAAAAAACAAAATTTGAAAATGCATGTGTTATTTTTGCCCAATCAACATAAGCCATCCCTTTTGTTAAGGTCCTTGGATCTAGGCCTTGGGAGGATTTTTCTCTTTTCAAAATTTTTAGATAGCTTTGTTATCAGTAGATGAACAATGTTGAAAAAGAAAAAAAAAATGGTTTTGAGTTTGTAAAGGCCTAGATCTTGAAATTGGTTAAATGGATGGTCTAGATTCATAGTTGGAGGGGATTCATTTGAACCAAAACTATAATGCAAATTCAATTTTTGTTTTTATTTTAAATTGACTATTGGGATGAAGAGAGGGTATGTGCAATTTTTGGGGTGATACGAATGCTACAAACATAGATTTTGAGAAATGCAGTTGTATTATATTACTATACAACTAATTGTTGTATGAAATCATTCCCCTAAACAATCAAATTAGCGCCCACCTCAAAAATTTCCTTAGAAGAGGTTGTTTTGACGCTCAAATATCCTCAAATTGATCATCTTGAAATTAAGATGCATGGATGTGAGAAAAAAAATAGATTTTAAGTTTCAGAAATAGTGCATCTTGTAACACATTTTTGGGCCGTTAATTTTCATGATTTTCAAGTTTTTATAGATCTGCTCGATCTATACTATTTTTGAAGCTTTAAATTTTATTATTAAAGATGAAAATATATTTTAAGGCTATCACAAAGATTTCTAATTTTCAATATTGAT